AAGTGAACTCGTTACTTGTATCAAAGATGTCAAACTAATATGATAAGATTGATAACTAAGTTGAGCACGAAGCTCCTATCTAATGGCAGACGTGCCAGTTTTATATAGATCCTTCGTTCTCCTTAAGTCACAAAGTCGACAACGACTTTGTCGCCCTGCATATATCACGTGACCCTCTACATGTGAAATCCTTGGATCGCTTAGCTACTCTAAGCATCCCTATTTGCTATAACTATCCTGATGTGCCTGTCCTGTCGGAACGCCGTCTGGACTAACTCATCACATGACGCGGGGCATGCCCTTTAGCACGTGATTCGTGACATTCTAGAATATAATTAAATAAACTAAGTTACTTTAACTTATAAGAATATTTAAAACTATTTAGAAGTATAAAATATAATAATATAACTTAATATATAAGTTATAAGTTATTGATGATATAATTAATTAATTATAACTTTCACTAAGTTATAAGGATTTATATATTTTACTTATAAAGATTTTAGTTTATATATACTCTAGGGCCAACTAGTAGTACGCACGTAGACCTGCTATAGCTAAATCTATTCTTCTCTTTGATATATACTCTCTTACATGGTACCTTTCCTCTCTTAATCTCACACCCATTATATAAACACCTAAATCCACCCTACAAGTTACAGCCCCGCTGACCTTCCACCGTCCACACAAAACTCCTTCCCAGCACTCCTCAAATTATCCTCCTTACTCGCTCTAAGTTTCTGCTCTAGATTCAAGCTCTGTAAACGTCGCCACCTTTCTCTCGTAAGCTCGAAGGGCGCCGGTAAAGCGGGGAATTCCACGCTAAATGGAGGGGAACCTCTAAGTCTAAGGGACTTCAATAGTTTCTCCGCGAGGTGCGCTGCAGAGAGGAGAATTCGTGGCATTCCTATATGTTGTTACTTGATGTTGAATACATTGAGCTGCGGGCTGGGGGAGGGAAAAGAGGAGGGGAGAATACCATGTCCCGTGAACCCAGCAGCTATGAAGTGGCCCTCTTTCTCTGGGTGCTCGCCAATGAAAGGGAATGAGTCGGCGCTTATTCCTACCACTATCGATTGTCAGGATCTTCGCTTGGAATTGATCAGGGAAATCATAAACTTACCGCCTACCCAACATCCGCCATCTTCGGCCTCTCGTGCTAATACCTTCGGTTGTGACTCGAGTCCTATGATACTGGATGATGCCCAGGATTGGTAGTACTCTGGTACACCACGGATGTTACTCGATGTATCGACGTTGTTGATCCACCGGCTGGGAACGTGGACGAGGACTTTCTTTGCGCCGCCCACGATGATGGTGGGGTTTGGTGGGGGGAGCTGGACTTGGTAATCCTGTGGTCGTACATTAGTTTCTGTCCCTATACCTATTCTCCCCAACTCTTCGTACAAAAGAAATATACATACATTCACAATAACATCCCAATGCTGAGCACCGGTATTCCTTAACCTGAAATCCTGATTGTGGGGCTTGAGAGCAGCGACTGTTGCTAGGGAGGGATATATCAGGTTCCCAAAATCGGGGAGCAGATGGTTGGTCCAGGCGTTTGTTGCGTGAATCACTGTTTTGGTGAGTATCGTGCCTCGTGGTGTGGTTACTGTTATCCAGCCGGAGGGGGAACGGGAGGAGACGTGTGTTACGGGTGTGTGGGCGTGCAGCGAGAGGGCGTTGGCGTTGAGGAGAATGGTGAGAAGGGCGTGGATGAATTTGTAGGGCCAGCTTATTTGGGTCTTACGTTTAGCTTGCGATTTTGGATATGAATGTACCAGTATGTATGACAATAACTCTTGAAATAAAAAAGGGGTATCTTACATCTGACCAGCAGGATGAACGACCGCCCCGATCGCCCCCTTAATCTGCGTGAACTCCTCTGCCTCTTTCGCTCCCTCTACGATCCGTAGTTCCTTCACGATTTCCTCATCTGGATGATTTTTCACAATCTCTTCATAATTACTTTTCAGGCGCGACCACGCTTCTTCGGACATGGCTGCGTCGAAGGTGGGCCCGGTTTGGAAATACACTTCTTCTTTGATGTTAGACATTTTTGGTTCTTTTGAGGCGGCTGTGAGAAGATCGTCAAATGCGGGAAGATGAGCCATCTCGTGCTTGATGAGGTCTATGGCTCCTTTGGGTCCGTGGAGGGCTTTCCAGGGGAGGTAGCGGGAGTAGGCGTATGGTCGGAGTTGGCCACCTGGGGGTTTTGTTAGCGCTTCTATTTGTTGTTTTTTGAGGATTCTTCCTTCCATATACCTAGGGAGGAGGGGTGTTGAGAATCATTATTGAGAGAAACGCACCATTTCTCCCAGTTGCGCTCCCACAAATGTCTTGGGCTTCTAGCATGAGGATTTTAGGGGTTGTTCCAAAGTCTTTAGTACACTGTTTTTCTCGGTTAGTCATAATGAATCTGATCTGAGGACTATTGGAATTTATGAGACTTGGAGCTAGTAAAATGGAATATAGATAGAATTACTCTGTAAAGAAAGTAAGCTGCTGAGGCACCGGTATAGCCGCTTCCTATAATTAAAACATCTGTTTCGGTTGGTAGAGACTCGGAAGATTGATAATCCCTGAGGGGCGAGTTGGCTTCTTCGATCCAGTAGGATTTTGTCCCGTTCTTGGTTGGGAGGACCATTTTGGGCTGATTATGGAGTTTCGACTGGAACTTTGAGGATTCGCTGGTTGAGTGATTTTTATGAGATATATTGATAATATTGATCACTTGGTCTCAATTGTGATAATGTATCTTGCAAACGTGTTGATATTTCACAGGACATATTTTCTGACAAGTACCCGGATGTCAAGCGGCAACACCTCCGGGATTCGTATTCGCTGGTCTGATTTTCTAGTTTGCGGTGTACGACGTTTCCACTTTTCCATTTTCGCCCACTTTTGTCTCTTCTCCCACCTTTGAAGGACAAACCACAATGAGTCGAGGCAATTCACAGTTCATCGTAGCTTTGATGTTCACCTTGTTGATTGGCGTCATTATAAAATCTGGGGAAGTGGGGCCAATTCTGAGGTAAGGGTATGCAGGTACTAAGCATTTTCTAGAAAAAGGCTCGGTGTTCCGATGAGCTTGTTGGCTTTTCTTATAATTTTTTTAACTCGGAGGAAGAACATATCTACGCGAGATATTGGCTAGTACAAGCAATCATTCTTGGTAGCTTATTTTTCTCCCCAAGAGGCTTGTGTTGTTTGTATCTCGATCTGTTCGTAAGATAAGGATATGTGATAGGGGCTCGCTTATTTGGCCTATCTGTGAAGTTGCCCGGGCCAACCGGGATACTGTAAGCCTTTGTGGATCTCACTCGAACCCCACTGTTCTCAAACTTGGAAGAGGTTGACGCGCTTTCTGTTACATACGTATCCAATTCATTTATAGATTTTGCCTAATTCAAGCTGCCAAAAAACTAATGAACCGTTTTACTCTGCTCCTCTCCCTCGATGACCTCAACCTCCCCAGCATCCAAATCCACACTTGAAGGAGCTTCTGGGATCAATTTGATGAGATAAATCATACTTGGGATGGTAAGTGCCAACAGTGCGCAATTCACATAGAATGGATTCCTAGCATCACCACTGGCGAAAGAGTTGATGGCATATGAAACGGCCTGACCGAGAGTCTCACATGCGCGAAAGAGACCACCTGTTCGAGATGAGGACTTGACGTCTGTGGAGAACGTACCGAGAATCCAGTAGAGTGAAAGTTGGGTCAAATACCCGGTGGTGAACATAATCAGGTATGGTAAATATGCTTCGGCCCATTTGCCGCTCGTACTGTTGTAGCCTGTGTAAGTGGTCGTCATGTTGAAGATTCCGTGGATAAACTCACAGTTTGTAGTCCAGAGCAGACTTTGTTGTTCCGTATTTGCTGTACTCAATCCCAATCCAGATGAAGCATGCAGCTTGTGGAATCACCCAGCAAAAAAAGGAAATCCATGCACGACGTTTTTGGGACCATCGCTTAATATCCAGGAGTTTTCCGAAAGCCATGACAAGTGGAATTGTGACGGTTGCTGTGCAATGGTGAGAAAGGGCTCTTGATGAGGGGAGGCAGCACTTACGAGTAATAAGACTAGAAAGGGCTCGAGATCTAACTGAGAAGTGTAGGGTGAGATATGTACCCATTGTCCCACCATAAAAGAATGAATAGAAAGCTGGAATGAAAACGAGCCAAGTCTGTAGGATTCGTTAGCAATGCAAGGACGATTTTACATGGAGACAAGACCGACCTTTGGACGTTGAGCATGCCTCCATAATGCAATGAACTCCCTTTTCCAACTGACAGTGTCGGAAGATGGGACTTTAGTTCCGTTCTTACGTCTGACTAGCTTTGTTGGAGATAGTAAGAGGGCATAGATCATTCCCGTGGAAGCAAAACCGACGAATATGAGGTAGGTGGACCATGCAATACCACCAGCTGAAGAATCCGAGTAGTTCGTTGAGAAGTTGATGGCGCCTCCAACGATACTTCCTGAATTTCTCATGGCGGACCAGATCCCAAGATACAATCCTCTGTCATTTTGATCGGGGTAGGAAAGCATAGCTGTAGTCTCAGCCACGTACAAGAAACCACCCGTGAAACCACCAACCACCTGAGGCTATCAGTAAAATCTTTTAAGAAAAGAAAGATAATTAGGAGCAACTACCTTTGCCAACAAAAGATACCATTGAACTCCAAATTTCGCATTAACAAAATAACCGGAAGGACCTAGTGGCATTCCAACAGCAGCGATGACACAAGACCATTTGATACCAAATTTATTGATCAATGGTCCTCCAAACAGAGATACCAAACATCCGGCAGCGTAATTGAGAGCATTTGATAGATTGGCAAGATAAGGAGTCCTTAGACCACCACCTCCGAGATTTGAAATCGCGTCTGACATGGCGGGTCCTACAAACGATAGACTACACAACATTAGCTATTTTCTACGATTCCGGGGAAGAAACTTACGCTCCGAAAAGAACCATCTGAAAAAGAACGCCACGATAGGTCTTTGAAAGCCATGATGCATTCCGGTATGATGTGTCGACCCCGATAATGCTCTCTTCTACATATGGCAGATCATTGCTTGAAGTCGTATGCACGTCGCTGACCTCAACCGTCTTCTTCGTGTCGGTACTTTCAGAAGCCATGATTAAAGAAGCTGGAAAATTACAGATTGACCAGAGATTGGAGTTAGAATGTCTTATATCATTATCACTATCACTAGAAGCATTAGCTCAACCCAACACGAACGCCACAACGAAAGATGGGGGCACTGAAAGCGGGTACAGCGATAAGCAGCACCAGGGATAGTGGTCATCACTTCATTACTTGGTGTGAACCTGGTTGTCGGATGTCCAGGAAGATAAATTTAAATCTCTACGAAAGTCTTTCACTCTGTTCAAGTGTCTTTTGGTAAGTTGGAAAACATGTGAGAATGAAATAATGAAATAATTCAAATTAAGTTCGACCGCTTGGTATCCGAACATAACTCTCGATATATATACTACTTTTAAAGCCTTATCAACATTAAGACAGTATAAGATATATCAGGTACATCTCAGGTACCATCATGGCTGGGCAAGACTGGGGTATAAGTGGGGTCTTGAATTGAATGGCGGGTAGGAACGGACATCAAATCCCCCGCCGACCTCGCTTAGCAGGGCTACCACGGACCTAGAACCTCACCATATGTATGGAAGACTGCAATGTAAAGACTTATGTTTTTACGAGATTTGACTCTCTTTGAAATACATCCAAGCCTGAATGAAAAATTCGCAGGATCCCCCTTGAAAAACAGTATTGAAAAACAGTAGCTGAGCTTGTTCTGTCGTAGAAAGATGATCTGATATCAAAAACAATATAACTCCAAGAAATCAACAACTTTCAAATACATGCAATCTTTTCAACCCTCTGACTCCGCTCTCATTAAAATTCTCGCCACTTCCTCATGCCCCTTTGCTTCAGCCAACATGCGTGGTGTCCTGTCAAGTTTGTCCTTCAGATTTGGGTCAGCACCATTCTCTAGCAGACGGCTCACGAGGCTCATGTTGCCGCGCTTTGCGACAATATGTAGTGGGGTAATAGAAATCCTTCCACCTCCCAGGTTGACTTCTTCTTTTACACGTAGAAGTGGCTCAATCGCTTCTTCCCGGCCTCTTTTCACTGCAAAAAAAAGAGGTGTAGGGCCATTTTCATATATCCACTTCGGAACAGCGTTATATTCTAATAGAAGTTCAACAATCCGGGGGCTAGATGCAACGGCAGCTCTGTGCAATAAACTCGGATACTTCGTGTCGCCCGGCAGAATCGACGGAAATTCGCCAGATGATGAGCATTTTCTTTTAAACCATCCCAGAAATAATTCCACAACTCCTGTATGTCCACCCGATATTGCGAGAGGGAGCGGATGTTCCATGCCAGCAATATGTAGAAAAGGTTTAGCCCCATTTTGCAAAAGAGTTTTCGCTATTTCGATACGTCCTTTTTTGCATGCGATCAGAAGAGCTGAATCTTTGGCATTCCAGCTCGTAGTATACTTCAACAGTAATTCGACAACGCTTTAACTCCAGTCAGCGGCCATCACTAACGGCGGCTGCTTGTCAGTGTCAATAGTCGCTCCTGCTGCGATGAGATATTCTAATATGACCTGCGATAATATCTGCTATTCTACTCATAAATATTGTGAAAATATCTTGGGCCAAGAGCTGCTCCGGTGAACATTGTGTGGGAATGGATATCAGAACCATATTGGGTTCGTTATATTGCTGCTTCGAATGCCACGCCAGTGAAAGAAGTGTAATGGAAAGCGTGGATGGACGACAATTTTCATGGGAGGTACTCGGAACATATTTTATGGCGTGGGTACACCGGCAGCTGTAGTGATTGACCCACAATCTCATCGTTAAGAGTAGATCTCGATTTTCTCCAATATCAGAGACCGCGAACGCCTTTTCCGAAAACAGGAACTTCTGTTGTTCCATAGACAGCCGCTTCAGTGACCAACTCCAAAGACCCAAAACGGCCTCAAGCTGATGGGTGCCCATCAGCCACCTCTCGGATTCGTCTAAATGCATATGAAAATGGATTGGAAGAGGATCTTTGTTTTCACGGGTTTTCTCCAAAATTTGGCATGTTGTTGACCAAACCAGAGATCCGCGAATATCCAATCCTGCCACAAATTTCATATTCTTAAACACATAATTCGCGGACTTTTGAAGAGCATCTTGAAGTTTAACGGCTACTTGTCTTACTTCGCTATCCCATATCCGTTCCGAGCATTCCGTATGAGTTTCTGTCAGGTGTGTCATTCTTGCTCTATACATTAAAAGTCTGGCAGCTTCGTTCGGCAAGCTTTCTTCGCTTTCCGCACTCTCCTTCTGATTGTGAATTACCGTAGTGCGCGCAGAAGTAAATAAACCGCAAAGCATTTGCGACGTTGATAAGTTGATGTACTCTTGGTATTGCTCGGGTATCTTGAGTGTAGTTGGTTCATCCACGATGAAGAAGCTCTTCACAGGGCTCTCTCCGTTGTGGTCCTCGCATGGAGAATTGCTGGGTGGCACCGTGGCCCATAACCATTTATTCACGCGTTTATGGCGTTTTTTCGGACACGTCAAGGCATGTTCAATTTCCAATGCCTGCGCCAATCGAGCTCGTGTTCCTCAACTCTCATTCCGAGAGCTTCCAATCTATTACTATCCCTATTGAGACGTCCATAGCGGAGAAAGCTTCGCAGAATCGCCATCATCAGTGTAATTACCAATTGATACAATGCAATTGACCCATGTAAATTGCGGAAACCCACAAACTGGCAGATAAAACCCACGCTTGACGATACAACTGCTATCCATAGCACCAATATTATGTGCCTCGATATGAAACTGGGTTGTTTACTATGATCGGCTTTCCAAGAGGTCACGAAATTCTGCTTGAGCTCGGAATAGGAGAAGGCATTGAAAAGCTGATCACCAGCACGCTGACGACCTGGCTGTAGCCAGAAGAATCTTGTGGGTGCCATGTCCTAATCATTAAATCAGCAAATTATGGTGAAATCCATAGGGTTCGAAACTTTGATTGGTCCTATTCAAATCTTCTTTCCATCGAGTTTCTTTCAATTAAAAAGGCACAAATCGTCATACGAACCACAAGAAGTGCTGTCCCAGATATTGCTAACAGAAATGACCAGACTTTGGGAGGGTTATCATTCTCATTAGAGTCAGGTTTGTAAAAGGTAATCCATGTCGCAAAACCGAAGAAGCTCAACTGTGCCCATACCCCAACCGTGGCAACCGCCCACAGCACCTTGGAAGGAACCTTTTTGATGCCAATGTTGAGGGAGAGATTCGGATATGGTGCGAAGCTTCGAGGTTTATTGGATTGTGGGTCTTCGGAATCTGCAACTCTCCTCTGGACTTTTCCATCCATCTCATTTCAACCATGCTGCGGTATATTCTGCCCACTGAAAACCTCTCGCGATGGAAAAATACCACAAGTAGCAGGAATTAGAGAATGTTCGTCTTCTCCGGTATTGTAAAACTGTGCGTTTTTCTATATGTGAACGAACTCGAGTATTTTGGGACGTCCAAAGACTCGGCAAAACCCTCCATTGGACCACAGTTCGCAGACATCGTCGCTTGTAGATGAGCACAGCTTAGCTTCGGCCTGCCCGTGGGCCTCTTGTGCACGCCCGATGAAAGCCTTCAGCGAAGCATTTCCATATACACGAATTGCCGAAACAATCGCAGTGATGACACCAAGGGGAGCCATGCCGAAAATGATGTTATCCCAGATACTGGTGGACTCGCTTAAAAATTGCTTGGAGACTTGTTCACCAAAGAGAACAATGATTGGTGCAAGGTCCGTTGCAAAATTATTCATGAAGTCCTCCCATTCCTTCACAGTCCCAAGAGCAGATCCTACAGGGATAAGGACGGTGAGCGCAGCCAGCGCTAGTAAGAACATTTCGGGCAGTTTCGAAAGTTCGTTGGTTCTTTCCTGAGTGAGTTATGGCGAGATAAGATAGTGTCGTGCAGTATCAACCGATGTGGGAATTCGTCCTCATAAAATTTATCGTTGTTAGAAAACAAACAAGGCTGCCAGAATTGCGGAGTATAATGGTCTAAACATCGGTGCCCAATTCCTCCAAAGTTGAGAATCGATATGATCGCTCCACTTATGTGTAACATTCTCACAACTGGAGTTAGCCGCCAAAATTCATTGGAAATACTGCATCTGCGAATTTCCACAGCTAAACCACATGAGGATGGTGGGCAACGATAAACGGTTTCCTGCATACTCGAGGGATCGATTCCAATATGTGTGCGTGCGGATGGTGAGTAACGATGAACGGTTTCCCGCATACTCGAGGAATCCATTTCGTTATCTGTGCAGGAGTATGGTTTCCCGTGGTGAACTCGTCCTCGGTTCGTCATCATGGACTCCTGGTACAATCTAATGCGAAAAGTCCAATCCAGTGATAGGTGATATCTCCTCGCGCCTGCACGGGAATACGAGTTACAATCTCGGAAATGTCTTCGTGCATGAGAGTGACAGCACATATCTGATATGGATGGCTGATTTTATAAAGTTTACCAGATTTAGTGGATCGAGCCTCATATCGATTGGACAATATTTGTTTTTTGATAAAAGGACAATATCAAGCAAGACGCCGCTGGGAGTTTCGCGAGCCCTGCATTAAACCCAAGCAGATGCTCATTCTCATTCCCCCCCTCCCTTTTTTGGGGCAAGAGCGTAAACTCCACTCTTTCCTGAATTGAAGAGCTTCGGCATCAACCACTCTTGCTAACCTTTCCCCTGATTTCAGGATTCTTGTTTCATACTATCTTATCATAGCCATGAAATGTTGCACAAGAGAAGATGAAACGAACGAAGGAGCAAGGGCAGGACAAATAGAATTATAGAGCCTTGTTTATATTATATGCTAGTCTGAAAAGGTTAAGAACTCGGGTAGAGACTCTGCCTGCGTAAGGTTGAGAACATCATGCATATGGCATACCAAGATGGCGAATTCCGGGGCAGCAAAATTGGAGAATAGCGTACGAACAAGGTTCGGTATTTGGAATACGATTCCACGGATTCTGAGATTCCATTCCAAGGTGGAATATTCTAAAGGCTCTCTAAGTCAGAATGGAATATTCTGAAGGATAAGGCCTTAGAATTTAGAATTCCAAAGGATATATATATTACTATTTAACTAATAAGAGAGCTCTATTTATTATAAAGTAACAACTGAAATTATAATTTTTACCTCCGTACGCTTGATTAATCATTGTCGTCCCCCAGATACAACAAAGGTAAATACCTGTACCGGCAGTCTAGGAGTACGTGTGCCGCTAGTATAGGAGGCACAAATACGCAGATTTAAGAGTGAATATAAGTAGGTTTAGAGTTATACTAGCAGTCTAGAAGTACGTGTACCGCTAGAGGCGTAAATCCGAGTATTTGTTACACGTCCTAGTAAGATATATAGAAGCGACATTATAATATTATAGTATTAATAGTACAAATACAATTCTGAATATTAATATAGTACTAAGGCTAAGGCTAGGCTTCCTATTAGTCACTCGGACCAGAACTACTTTTTTACGAGTCACGTGAGGAATTCCAAATATTCCACCCTTTAGAATAGAATATTTTAACATTTATACTATTTAGCATAGAATGTTCTATAGGGGGGTCTTAGAATAGAATGGAATTACAAATGCCGAACCTTGCGTACGAAAGAACTACTTAACTGCTTAAGTAGTACTCGAGTACTACTGTCAGGGTGTATGATTAGATTGTCTGCGAGGAGAGAAGAGTTCTCCAAGCAGAAGTGCTACTTATCTATCTACAGTGCCTTGTTTCCCGAAATCTACCCGACACCAAGCCTCGAATTCACTGAATCAAATCTGTTACATAAGGTCCCTCTTTCCTACACCTTTTCTCGTTCCGCAAAAGCTCTCAACCGTTCGTTCTTTGTCGGTTTAGGCTTATTAGGGAATCTAGTCTCGAAGGTACGTATCGAGGCTACGCTATAGATAACATTGACCAATGGCTCCCATGAGTTCTCCTCTTGGCTATAACCTCGCCATCTTATCAGATATTCGAATTTTCTACCCTTCCTCCTCGAGTCTACTATCTCCTCCACTGCCCATAGAGCATGTCCTCCATCGTCTACTGTCACAGGTGGAGGTGCTAGGTTGACTTGCCCTGGCATCGGGACGCCGGCGGCGGGGCGTAGCAAATTAGTGTGGAAAACCGGGTGGATGGACTGTAATTCGTAGGGAAGCTCCAGCTTATAGGAGTGGGAGTTCATGATTTGAAGTACTCGGTAGGGGCCAATGTACTTGGCGTCGAATTTCGGTATAGGTCTCGCTGACTTGATATTCCTTGTGCTTAACATAACCATGTCACCTACTCTGTACGCTGGGGCTGGTGATCGGTTCGCATTCGCAGATTCCTCCATACGGTCCCTCGTAGTAAGCAAATTAGTACGTAAGTAGCCCAAGATCTCCTCCATCTTCCGAGCAAAAGTTCTTCCCGCAAGAGCGTTCTGAGAGGTGAGCGTAGGTGATCGAGGTGGCCCAAAACTCATGCGAGGATGATAACCGTTGTTTGCAAAGAACGGAGATATGCCAGTTGCAGAGCTGACTACGTTTCTCATAGCAAACTCGGCTAAGGGTAGGAATTGAACCCAATCTGTCTGGGCGAAGTCGATGTACTGACGTAGGTACTTGGAAATGGATTTGTTAGCGACTTCGGTCTGGCCATCAGTTTCTGGGTGGTATGCAGTAGAGAGATCAACTCGAACCCGTAGTACTTCGCAGACGGATTTCCAAAAGTCTGAGAGGAATAAGGAACCCCGGTCAGAGACGATAGTGTCTGGTAGTCCATGAAGCTTCCAGACGTCTCGCACGAATAAGCGAGCCAGCTCGGCTGCATTCATATCCTTGTTGCATGGTGTAATGTGGCAATCCTTAGTGAGCCTATCTGTAACGACCATAATCTGGTCAAATCCATCGACCAACAGAATAGGGCCCATAAAGTCGACTGATAAGTCTCTCCATCTTTGAAGCGGTATTGGGAGTGATTTTAAAGTGCCCTGGTATCGTAGCTGGGAGTACTTGTTCCGAAGACAGTTTGTACAGGCTCTACAAAATTGGGTGATATCGCGGTAAAGTTTCGGCCACCAATAATGTCTACACATGAGCTCGAATAGTTTGTTCTTGCCTGGGTGACCGCTCTCGACCGAGTCGTGGGCTCTTTGGAGAAGCCATACTCGTAGTTCTGTATCTGGGACATATAGCCTGTCCCGAAAGTATAGCCTGCCGTCGTCGATCCGACACTCGGACAATGCGACTTCTTTGGAGTGTGGTGTGCGGTCTTCTCTGTTCATTTCCTTAGAAGTCTTCTTCCAGAAAGGGTCTTCCTTGTACCCCTCCTCTAACATCCTAGTCAAGATATGGTCGTCGGATTCAGTTCCCTGCTCGTCTGGTTCTGGTTCTGGTTCCTCTTGTTCAGTGGGTCGTTCTTCCTCGTTTAGAGGTGCTAAGCGAATGGCAGGGTCTAAATTTTGAGGTTTGAGAAGTGACTGTTGTTGGTATATAATCCGAGGGTCGTCGTCTCGGCTCGGGAGGTCTTGGGATCGACGAGTAAGTGAGTCGGACTTGGTGTTCTTCTTACCAGGTACAGGTTTAATAACAAAGTCGAATTCAGAGAGAAACTCGCTCCACCGGACTTGACGGCGGGTCAGTTGCTTAGTAGTCATAAAGTACTTCAAGTTGGAGTGATCAGTGATTACTGACACAGGGTACGCGGTTCCCACAAGTTCGGAGCGCCAGGACTCGAAGGAACGTACTATGGCAAGTAGTTCCTTGTCATAGATTTCGTAATTGCATTCCGCGGGGTCGAGGACTTTTGACATAAAGGCAACAGGGTAGAGAACTCCATCGTGGTATTGGGACAAGATGCCGGCCGAGACGTAGTCGGAGGAGTCACATTCGACAATGACTTCCTTCTCTGGGTCGAAGTGCTTAAGTGTTGGTGCAGAAGTGAATGCTTGCTTAAGTGCTTGAAACGATTTATCACAAGTCGAGGTCCATTCCCACCTTACGCCTCTCTTAGATAGTAAATTCAATGGTTTAACTAACCTCGAGAAATCCTTAACAAAGCGCCGGTAGAAGTTCGAGAAGCCAAGGAACGCCTGGAGGTCTTTGAGGTGAGCTGGCCTAGACCAGTTCGTGATAGCCGAGGTCTTCTCAGGGTCCATTCTCACTCCATCCGTTGATATAATCATGCCTAGATAGGTGACTTCCTGGACTTCGAACTGGCACTTCTTAATGTCCAGCTGGAAGCCGGCTTTTTCGAGAGCCTCGAACACTTGTTCGACCTGCTTACGATGCGAGGTCAAGTCGTCTGAATAGATGAGTATATCGTCTATGTAGGCAGTGCAAAAGATATCCAGGAACGGGCGGAGTACTTCGTTAATCCGGGCTTGCCAGGTTGCTGGAGCGTTCGTAAGGCCAAATGGCATGACTAGAGATTCGAAGAGGCCGTAGCGAGTATTGAAAGCTGTTAGCCATTCGTCCCCCTCCTTAATTCGTATGTGGTTAAATGCTGCAATGACATCGACTTTGGTGAAGTACCTTGCTTTGCTGAGTCGTTGGAGTGTCTCTTGGATTCGGGGTATCGGATACCGGTTTTTGATCGTAATATCGTTTAGTGCTCGGTAATCCACGCAAAAGCGTAGTCCTCCACCAGGCTTCTTTGCGAAAAGTACTGGGGAGGCAGCCGGGGATTTACTTGCTCGAATAAACCCCTTCTTCAGCTGTTCGTCGAGGTACTTACGTAAGACCTCTAACTCTGGGATAGACATATTATATAGAGGTCCATGGGGAGGAGATGAACCAGGCTTCAATTCAATCTTCAGGTCGCAGTCTCGATGTGGGGGTAGCGTATCAGCTTTCTGACGGTTAAATAACCGAGATGACCACTTCTTCAAGTGTGGAGGGAGCAAAGTCTCAGGATCAACGTGCTCTCCAGGGTTGTTGTACTTTGCGAGTGCCTTCTGGATGTCGTCTAGAGAGGCCCCGCAGAGGTAGAGTTCAGCAGCCATTTGGCGAGAATCGGTGGTTTTGTGCTGGAAGTCGTCCTGAATCAGTAACTCCTTTTCCATGCGCTTCTGGCCCGAGAGGCCATCGTCCATCCGAATGCTGTACAAGGTGTCGGGAGTAGAAGGGCTCGCGCCTAACTCCTCTAACCTTTTGTCTATTTCAAAAACAGATAGAGAGAACACTTCAACGCCGTGAGTAGATGCCAGCCGGTTGAAGGAGGCAGCGCTGACTTTCAGGGGCTTAGGGATATGTGAAACGTCGTGACGAGTGCATTTCACTTGAACCGAATCCAACCTCCTAGGCATACAGTGTCCTCT